TCTAAAGGATGAGGGAAAGGAAGACAATGCCAAAGAACTTACCAAATTCACCAAAGCACAACTGTTTGTGCTCATACTAAAGCTTGGATGGATGAGAGAGTAGAGGGGGATCATTGCTTCCAGGACAGATTACACTCTTCCCTTTCACCAGCGGATAGTTCCTTTATTAAATAAAAGTTGAAGTACTGTACTTACATTGACCCATAGATAAGTCGATTCATGGCTTTGGGGTCAATTTTTTGCCTAAAATTTCTAGACTTATACATGAGTATATACAGTATATAGCAGTCTCTGTGTGAGAATGTCCATAGTAGGAATGCACAACTTTGTGGGTGTGGAGATGAGGTGACAAGTTCAGTTTTAAGGATGGTCATTGGAGGACAAACAAGAGGAAGAATGTTGCCTCAAGCCAAGGTTAGCAGATAACCATATGAATGAATATTGGGATGTAGTGTAGGAGCCAAAAATGCATCCGAGGAAGTAGGCTCAAGTCAATGAAAGCTCATGCTACCAACTCTCTCTTTCAGTTAGTCTCAAAGGTGCTGCAAGTTCCCTTTGGATCCTAATATTCCATGAATGTATTGAGTGGGTAATGTATATGAATGCATACTGATTTTTCAGGCTAACACTAGTCTGTCTTTGAATACTCCCCCACTAATATATATATATATATATGGTATACTTCCTTTAAAATTCTGACTGAAACCCAGTGGATTCACCTCTCAATGACATGGATGCCACCAGCCGCCACTGGAAGATGTGGCCAAACTAGGCCACCTTCAATAGACTTTTAAATCCAAAACTTGACATTTGGGTACCTAGTGCTTCATTTCCAGAACTTTTTCTCCATGGATGACTGCCCTGATAAGCATCTTAACTGTTCCCATCTTGTTCCTAGAATTAGGGGTCAGCCTACACATGCCCATGGGGCTGCTGCTCCTTCCTCATGGGTCAGAGAGACCAGGAAAAGGATGCATAGGAGAGGCAGCCCTGGAATAAAAGATTCTCAATGGCTCTAGAGACCTCTGGCAGATGGAAAGTTTGGGATTTTTCCAATCAGCTGGCAAAGGGTGGGATGACATCAGTCCAGAGTTAAGAAGCCAGATGCTTAGAAAGCTAAACATCCTCCCTTTTGCTGGCTCCTTAGACCTGGGTGGGAGCAAGCCCTAGGGACCTGGACTGCATGCTAGAGAGGAAAGGACAGAATGTGCAGGTTTTCTGTGTTTAATTTTGCTTCTCTTGCAGCTAAATACAGCTGAAAACATACACATGTGGTGGGGAGCAGACAAGGGAAGGGAAGCAGAAGAACAAGTCACATACCTAGGTTGTTGTGGGTTTTTCGGGCTGTGAAGCCGTGTTCTAGAAAAATGTATTCCTGACGTTTTGCCTATATCTGTGGCTGGCATCTTCAGAGACTGGTGGCATGGAGGTGTGGGGGGTATATATACTGTGTGA